TGGGTCAGACCTCTTCTGACTTGCCCACTGCTCCCCTCAGCTGTGTACTTCATCAGTGTGCCTGTTCTGCTCCCCACTCTGTCCTCTCACCACCCCAGCAAATCTGGCCTGCACACCAGTTCTGTATGCATAAATAAATTAATCTTTAAAAAATAAAGAAAGAGTATTTTTTGAAGATAAGATTCACTATTGGATGTAAAAATTAGTATGCCTTAGAACAAACAAGATTTATGTATTCTCAAGGAATCTCCTCCAAGATATGTATTAACTACAAAGATGAAGAGTATAATTTTACAGCAGTAAAATCCAGCAGAAATCATCTTCACACCCCTTCAGATGTATGTTGTCATACCACTCTCACCACCATAAGGTAACCATAATCCTCTACCATAATCCACCACGGTGGTTCGTAGCCTATTAGAAGGAGGTGGAAACCACTGTAGATAAGCAGTCCAAAATCAAAGCCACCCAGGGAGAAATCATGTGGCCATATCTGTTTTAAAGAGTTATTATTCAAACACTATGGGAAATTTCCAGTTCTTTTTCAGGCTCCAAATTAATTATTTGTGTAAGAAAATAAGGACACTTTACAGACAATTCAAGAGAAACTTTAGACACAAAGCTTTTTAGCAAAATTATTTTATTTTCTACCAAAAATGTCATTAAAATCAAATGTAATCCTTATTGATTTCTCAGCGCTGTGTGAATGAATTCCTATACCTCTAATTTCTCAAATATCAGAATACAGATTCAAGATCTGTTCTGTTTTAGGAGGCAGAAGAAAGTGTTTTCCTCCCAACTACCACCCCCAACCATCACCCTTGAAAGGACTCTTCTTTTATATCCAAGACCATGAACAGACTCAACAACTGCTTTCAATCTTCCTTTTCTTATTGAAATGTAATATGTGGACTATCATATTTATTTTACCCCCCCCCCTTTTACAAAGTAACAAGGAAGCAATGTTCTCTGGACACATAAGCTATAAAACAGGAAGAATTTTCTATGTTCACCTTCTAATTCCCTGGTGATAAATTATGGAATGAAGTGTGCCATGATAATATTAGTTCTTTAAACTCTCATGTGAAGGAAACACTGTCACAAGGAAAGTGACCAAACAGAATTATTCATGGGTTTATAAATAATATGTTTCCAAAGACATAATTCACCCATTTAATAGTATAATCCTAAATCCATGAAGCCTGGTAATGGTAATATGGGAGGAGCCTGTCTTATCACAATCCCACTAATTAAGACTAAACCAGTAAAGCCATCATTACTGGATTTTCTGATTCTTCTGCAGTATTGTGAATATCTGCTGTTGGGATGAAAGGTTGTCTATGGAAATTGGTGGATTTTATAATAATAATTACTAATAACTAATTTTCATTCAGCCTGCACTAAGTATGATGTACTATATGTTAAAAAATATTACTTACTGGGGATAATTTATCCATGACCTTTTGGAATAGGAGGAATTATCATGTCATGTATTATCATTGTAAATCCTCTCTCTCTTTTATCTAATAGCAATCTCTTTAATATACCTCTGAGAACCTATTTTAGCTATTCAATCCAATGGAGAATGCTGTAAAAATTTATCTTTTACAGACAGAGTGAGCTGCTTTTCTCTTTCCTTAGAGATTCTGGACTTTGAATAAAGGGAGTGTTAGGGGATGAGAAAGCTATGTTTGTGATTCAGTGACCTCACTTTGAGTGACAGCTAAAGCTAAGAGGTTAGTTGATTGTCCTTAGATCATGGGCAACTAAGAGGCAAAGCCTAGAATCTCACTGAATTTTCTTCATTTTGTCTTGTGTTCTAACCTGCTTCTTGATTGAGTACAGGATTTAGAAGTAGCTGCTGCCTAGCAAACCAACACAGGAAAATTTAGTATAAGGACAAGAGACAGGAATCATAACATATACCATGAATTGTGCTTTTGTCTTTTAATATGCTGCTAGGAGATGAAATATTTAATTCTGTGAAATATAAAGAATCTCCTGGCAACTCCAGTATAGGCCAGGTTACATATATATGAGTCATGGGACTTGGACTTGTTCCTTAAAACAAATATGTATTAAATGTCTATACTGTGACAGATATTGGATATGGTGGAAGTTGTTAGATGGGATGCTCAGGAGTTGACTTGAAGGTCTCCCTTCACTGGCTTCTATCAAAATAGACATCACTTGGTGTCTCTGCCCTCTCACTTGGTCACATCTTACCAGATTGAAAGATGGACAGAGGCAGTGACTTATTGCTTTGAAGATTTTCAGAAGAACTTGCAGTAACTACAACTGGTGCCCTTTCTTTTTCCCTTCTCCTTGGAATCTGTCTGGTCAATGCTTGGTCTTTGCTTTCAGTAATAGCAGCCAGTCTGAGCTTTCCTCTTGACGCTTGTGACTAAAAGTTTCAATCTTAAAGCTCATTTTTATGAAACCCAGTTTGCCTCATACCTATAAGAAGTTTTCCCTCAGGTTGACTAGTAATAGTCAGCTGAAATAGGGCAAAGGGGTAGATTTGTAAACAACATAGGCCTGAACCCTAAGGGGCCAGGGTTATCCACATGTATATGAGTGCAGCTGCAGTGGGTTTTGCTACTTTGAAGCACCCTGCTTTAAATGCTTAATGTTTTTCTGTTGTGACAGTTTTTTTTTAAAAAAACAACTTTCCTGCATTTATATTTTGTACTCGAACCCACAGACATTATAGGCAGTCTTGTTAAAGGTCCCCAGGTCCATAGTGGGGACCAGAGAATGTACTGAATTGCTTAATCTTTACATTTTGAAGTCAACTTGGCCTTGAAAGGTCATTTTAGGCATTAGAGGGTAGAATGTCTAATACTTCTAAACCTAGGAGATGTTACTGATATGGTAACATATATCTGAAGAGGTATAACTACCTCTGAATAATATACAACGTAGATACCAATATTATGTCTGTAAAAATAATATAATTAAAAATACATAAATTGTTCTCTTTGCAGTGAAAGAAAAAAAAGGTAAAACTGACTGAAATCTGCATAAAGAACATTGATAAGATTCCAGTAAATATTTAGGTTGTATTGGATTTGCCACTGCAAATTCTATTCAAACGTCAGTATTATCCAGCTAAGTCTATATTCCTGAGATTTATTGAAAGTCTTAATTCACATCACTATCCCCTTAATTCCTTTTCCCCCACCTCTGGAAACACAAATTGATTTCCAATAGCCTGCAGATTAATTGCTAAGCTCTGTTTCCATTTTGCTGTATTTGAAGAACATCTATCACAGATTTTGGTTCTCATAAGACAACTAAGAACACGTTTCAGAAGCAGTATCAGTGGGTTCAAGAGGACTTTGTCCTACCCCTTCGTGTATTTCTTGGGCTAAAGAAGTGAGAAAGTTAACATTAGGGAGATTGGTAGGAGAAAAAGACATTATTATACATATGGAGAACTTGCATGGTTGTAAATTCTAAAGCAAATGGAACAAATGAACTCAGAATCAGAATGAGGGCTTGAGGCATCAACGAGAAAAGAGGGAGTCTCACGTAATAAGGAAGGGATGATTCATATAATAAAAACCTTGCCTCTGGATGTTTGCTCTGTCTAGTTTCTCTGATAAAATGGTGATTTCTGGAAGTGACCCTAAATCTGGGTGATCTTCATGCCTTAAGACAATGGTAACAGTTTCTTTTGAGGCCCACATTGCCTTAATTACATTAGTTCTACATGCCAAGGTGATACATATTGAAAACTGGCTGCTCTGTGCATGATAGAAAAGGCCTACCTGAACATTTTTGGGAAAGCCAATCATATAGCAGTAAAGATAGTTTCAGTTCTAGCGTGTTGTTTCTACTGAAACTCTTGCAGGAAAAGGGAGATTTTTTTTTTTTTTCAGGAAGGCGCTTTCATAGGACTAATCAATTCCATGGCAAAGGGCTTTGTTAAGGTTATAGAAATAGAAATATGACTGCCTGCCAGCATAAGAGAGTAAATATTCTAAAATAATCCACACAATGGAAGACCATGGCAACAGAGATAGAGGAATCAAAGGAGAAATGTAAATTAGGAAACCTTACATACACCGAATGGGAAATGGTAAAACCTCAAAAGACTCAATAATTGGACTACTACCATTGCAAATTTCCAAACTCCACAGGACATGATATTGCAAATGGCACTTTCTGGAGTGGGAGACACAACCCTTAAGTGAATTTCCCTCTCAGATATGATGAATGTGCAGTGCCCAAATTAAGCTATTTAAAAAGACCTCCAAACAAGTTAAACTTATAGGTGCAATGTAGTTTTTTTTTTTTTTTTAAAGATTTATTTATTTATTCATACAGAACTGGGGTACAGGCCAGAGATGCGGAGGGTGAGAGGATTCACCAGAGACAGAGCGGGAAGCAGAACAGGCAGATTGAGGAGGTACACAGCTGAGGGGAGCAGCGGGCGGGTCAGGAGAGGTCTGCCACGCCATGTGGTCACCTCCGGGGCAGGTGGGGATCGAACTCATGCGGAAGTGGCTTTAGTTTCTCAGTGCAGTGCTTTAACCGGCTGCGCCACCAGGGAGGGCCGCAATGTAGTTTTTTAAAAAAATAAGTGTGGTCTGATTGACACCCTTTGGACTCAAAATAAAAAAAAAAAATACCTACTACTTTGAAATATCTTTGGATCTTTGCTATGTTCTTTGGAAGCCCTCAGTTCTGGCTTTCTCTCCCTGAAGAGGACTTGGAATGTCCTTCATTTCTATATTACCAGGTTTGCAGCAGTGGTGGAATAACCTGTTATATTCTAATAAATCTTTGAACCCTTAAAAAAGTGAGATACATGATTTGAGATTTAATATGGAACTTATTCAACCCCTAAAGTCCAAAGGAACTGTATGTATTCTAGTGATGGACAGTACAAACTGTGGCTCTTAATGGAAACCCAACTCTGTTTAGACATTAATAAAACACCTTTCACTAAGATCAGAATAAAAAAAGGACTTCAGGTACAACGGTGATGCGGTTTGATTTTGAAGTAGGGGCTCGGTGATCTGTTGTGGGCCATGGAGAGTGACTTTTATCTGCGTTACTACGTGGGTCACAAAGGCAAGTTTGGGCACGAGTTCCTGGAATTTGAGTTCCGACCCGACGGGAAATTGAGATATGCCAACAACAGCAATTACAAAAATGACGTCATGATCAGAAAAGAGGCCTATGTACATAAAAGTGTGATGGAGGAACTGAAGAGAATCATTGATGACAGTGAAATTACAAAAGAGGATGATGCTCTGTGGCCACCTCCTGACAGGGTGGGCCGGCAGGAGCTTGAAATTGTCATTGGAGATGAACACATCTCTTTCACAACATCAAAAATTGGTTCCCTTATTGATGTCAATCAATCCAAGGATCCAGAAGGCTTACGAGTATTTTATTATCTTGTCCAGGACCTGAAGTGTTTGGTGTTCAGTCTTATTGGATTACACTTCAAGATTAAGCCAATCTAAACTAAATATTGGTGTGGACACAAGGGGCGGGTGAGAGTAGCTGTTTTTCATTACCATTATCAGGAAATTTTTGTGTATATTGGGGCAATATTTTTTTTATAAAGTATAAATGATTGTCTAATAAAAAAAAAACGACTTCAATTTCTTTGGGCTTTTCATACCCAAAAGCAAGAATATTTGATTCAAAGTAATGAAATTACTTTGAATTTTGAAGTAGCATTTGAATTTTCAAGCAGATTTTATAGATGGGCTTATATTTTTACCTAAATCTGATACTGAAATAGAGTTTATATTATCGGCAATTTTATTATTGGATTAATTTAAAATTTGTTAGTGAGTTATAGCAGGAACTGTGCTTGAACAGAATGCAAGTTTGGGAAAATGGGTAGAAGAATTTTAGTTGGTTACACTGTAGAATTTAATTAGTGAACTATTTCAGTGGGGAAAATCATCTACATTGTCATGCTAAACTCAAGAGCATCCTCAATGAAGTGTGATTGGTATGAGAGAGAACTTTGTGAAGGTAAAATCAGACCAACCTAATGGATTTTCTTCTTCTCTATGGACTTAACCATACCAAACTTGATCATGTATCTAAGGTTAAGCAAAATGGGTTAAGAAAACCGCTGTTGGGAGTCTGAAAAGAAAATATCCATTATCCTGGTTCATGTTTCCAAGGAAACATTGCCTGAAAAAAATATCCATTATCCTGGTTATCCATTATCCATCATTCATATCCATTGTCCATTGCCTGAAAAAATATCCATTATTCTGGTTCATGTTTCCAGGGAAAGAGATATCAAAGTATATAATCCTTTAATCTCTTAGCTTCTCCTCTTTCTCCTTCCTCTCTTCTAAGGCATATGGAATAATCCGTCAGATTAGAAATGGGATAGGGAGAGGAATTAGAGTTGCTCAGTCCCTTTCTTGCTCTCTTTTTCATTTTTCTTTGTCTGCTTCAAATTTGTGTCCTTGTCTTCTCTTGACCATATTCTAAGCTTGTTAGGTGAGGCTTTTCTTGGGGAGTATTATTATCATTTTCTCATGCTACTTCAAGATCATAGTTCAGTATTAATCACCCCATTATTAATAATATAGCATTATGAAATGTGTGTTGCCTTTTGCCTACACCATAATCTCTGTTTGCTCTAGAATTGAAAAAAGTTGACATTCTTAACTCTCTCCGCCTGTTGATACTTAGAAGACTTCTATTTATAAACTAGATGATCTTTGTCAATACTTACCCTTTCTATTTCTCAGTTTCTCATGTGTAAAAAATGTAATAATACATGTATCTATGTTTTTTTTAAAGATTTATTTATTTATTCTTGCAGAACTGGGGTACAGGCCAGTGTTATGGGGGTGGTGAGAGGATTCACCAGAGACAGAGTGGGGAGCAGAGCAGCAGATTAACAAAGTATACAATGCTGAATGGAGCAGCAGGCAAGACAGGAGAGGTCTGCTGAGCCATGTGGGTCACCTCTGGGACGGGGATCAAACTCTCACTGAAGTAGCCATGGCTTGGCTTCGCAGTGTAGCGCCAACCCACTGCGCCACCAGGGAGGGCCCTGTATCTACTTTCACAAAATTGTTATAAAGAGTTGTAAAGTACATAGAAAAATGCTTAGTCAGTCGGAATAAAGGAGAAGATAACCACTCCTTTATATTATCAGTTTGTGCAGAATTTGAGGAATGAAAAAGAGATATTTTTATTGGAAAATCCATAAAGCCCAGGAAATTAGGCTCACATGTCCTAATATCATGGCTTTGACTTGACATTATCATAGAAAAAGACAAGTGATCAATATTTATAGTAAAACATATGACCTGTCTTAAAAAAAGACATGTGTTGTATGTTATTAGAACTTAGAGAGGGAAGCAACTGACAATTTAAATGATAGTACAACTGTAATCACAACTAGTCCAAGGAAAATTGTGAATTGGAGTTTAATATTTTTTAGACCCAGAGTTAAACCTTCATTTTAGTACTCTCGTCCATTTTTCTGCCACACAGTGATCTATGATTTTCACCACTACCTGGCTGCCCTCCTGGAATTGCTCTTTCCAGTATTCAATTCCAAATTCAATAGCAGATTGGCACAACAGCTGCCTGAAGCACCATCCATATGAATGCCAAGCCATCAACTAAGGATTGAAAACATTACTGGATATGTAACAAGGTGGAGAAAATTGAGTTTATCAGAAAGGAGAGAACATTGTGTACACTAAGTATTTTAGTTCCAAGTAACAGAAGCTAACTTGGGATGATCAAGCAGAAGTTTTTATTAAAAGGGTATTTAGCAGATCACAGAATCATAGAAAGCAAGCTGGAGACTGCCATAAAATCATACTGTTAATACTAGTGAGAAAGTGGCACCTGATGATTCTACACATTAGCTAATACTATGAGTCCCAACACTATCCAGAGTTCATTTCTTCTGCAACTACTGTTTCTGCCTACCCTCATCTTTTCCACAATAGTAAAGCAGCTTTATACTTTCTGCAGCCACCACAGATCCCAAATACTAGACACTTCTTTAATCTTGCTGCAGCAACAAGAGGAGAAAATTGGATTCTGGGCAATCCTTTCTTTTGCTACTGCTTACTTTCTATCACAGTTTTGCAAAATCTGTTTTGCAAAGTCTTTGCTTTGAAAAATCAGTTTTTCAAAATTTGCCCATCTAGACAGATTCCAGGTTTAATTCCAGCTGTGCAGAAGCTGACAAAGCCAGCTCTCTGTCTTTTCCCGTTGGGTCTGAAGCAACCAGAAAATAAGACAAATATTTAGTATACTAAGAGTCTTGGAGAAGGATTGAGATCTTTTAAATATCTCTTGGTCCTAGTATTATCTTTTTTTCTTTTTAAAATGAATGGAAAGTTTTCTTTTTCTCTTTTCCTGTTACATGCACATTTGGAGCCAGAACTCAAAAAAAATCTGCAAGGCCAAGCACTTCCACAGTGTGTTCCCTTTCTCCAACATTCCACTCACAGTAATCTGCCTTAAAAGAAAATAGAGATGAATATATATTAAAGGCAAATTATTTTGAAAGTACATCAATTTACTCTCCTTCCTGGGTTACCCATGTTTCTTGATATTTAATGAAGCACTGTGCTGAAGTTCTCTCCCTGATACTTCAAAAGTATAGTGTCAAAATTCTCCTGGTCAAGTAAAATAATGTCAGATACTACCGGACAGTGGAAGTCTTTCAATATAATGATGACATTGCTCTTCAATGACTATGGCTCTTGCTCAAATATGTCACTGTATTTGTGCTGCCAGGCATTATGTGTTCAGATGCCAAAAATCACTTCAAGTCTTGGCTTTGAAATATAGATAAAATACTTTGATCAAATTTCTTCCCTAAAATGAGAAACATCAACACTATCAAGTAAATACTGAGCTAATATTAAACATTATTCTGGTGTTGATGAGAGTTCTGAAATACTTTCTAGTGGGTGTGGGGATTCCAGAAAATAACTCTCTCCAGCACCAGAGAGTGTGCTGCCTTTAAAATCTGTTCTGACACAAGATAGAACATCAGGTTCCACAGGTTAAGGGTGTATACTATAAGATCACCCCACCCATCACCACCACTTCAGATACCAGTTACAAATCCAGGTAATTACCTGTACTTCTGACTGACTGAGTGTGGATTAGAGGTTCCACCAATCTCCTTCTTGGGCTTAAAGAATTTGCTAGAGAAGCTCACAGAACTGAGAAGCATTCTACTTGCTATGTCACCGGTTTATTAGTAAAGGATTTAACTCAGGAATAGCCAGAGGAAGAGAAATATTTGGAAGGTATATGGGAAGGAATGGAACGGAGTTAATGTAAACGAGGAATATAAAGTTTCCATGTATTCTGACCTATGTGGCATTTTCCTGAATTTCATAGTGTTCGCAAGTCGCAAGTCCCTGAATCCTCTTTGTGGGTTTTGTGGAGTCTTCACTCAGGCATGATTTGGCCTATTGGACATTAGTAATTGTTCGGTCTCTACCCCTCTCCTTTCTGAGGCAATTATGGAACGATTCAAAGTTCGATCCTCAGGACACTCCCTGCTGGTGCAATGGGTTAAACTGGGGCACTGGAAAGCTAGAGGTCTATTCCCAGCCAGGGAGGTGACCCACATGGTGCAACAGACTTCTCCTGTCTTACCCGCTGCTCCCCTCGGTAGTGTACTTCGTCGATCTGCCTATTCTGTCCCTAACTCTGTTTCTGGTGAATATTCTCACACCCTGCTCCCTGCACTTCTGGTCTGTATCTCAGTTCTATATTCATAAAAAAAAAAAAAAATAGATCTTTAGGGCCCTCCCTGGTGGCGTAGTGGGTTAAAGCACTGCACTGAGAAACTAAAGCCACTTCACATGAGTTCGATTCCCGCCTGCCCTGGAGGTGACCACATGGCGTGGCAGACCTCTCCTGACCCGCCCGCTGCTCCCCTCAGCAGTGTACTTCATAGATCTGCCTGTTCTACTCCCCACTCTGTCTCTGGTGAAGCCTCTAACTGCCCCTGAGCCTCTGGCCTGTACCCCAGTTCTGTATGTACAAATAGAATAAATCTTTTAAAAAAAAATAGATCTTTAAAAAAAATATTCGATGCTCTACCATTTGGTTGGCTTCTTGACAACCACCCCCATTCTTAGGTACTTCTAAAAGTAACCTCTGTCACATAACAAGAAACACTTTTATAACTCATCTCTTAGTAATGTCCAGGGGTTTTATGAACTCCATTCCAAGGACAAAGTTAAACAACAAATATATTTATGTGTATATGTGATATTATAAATCACATCATTATATTAATTTTTGTTTGTTTGTTTTCCTTTGCTTCTCTCACTGTTGAAATTCTACCCAACCTCCAAATCAAAATGAAATCCATATATCCCTGAAACTCCTATCAACATCACTACTCTCCCCTCAAAATTGTGCTTTGTTCTTTTATAACAATCACCACTATTACAGAACAGTTTGCATTAGAATATGTTAGCTGTTCCTTCACCTCCTTTGTGACATTATTTCTAGTAGTCAGAGTTGACTTTAGCTTGTGTTTCCCCACATATAGACAGTTGGGTATGTAGAGCAGAAATTATGAAAGTGTTTGTCAGATTGAATTAATTATTAATT